AGCCACAGGCACTGAGCCAGACAAGAGGATCTCTTGAGCCCAAGAGTTGGAGGTTGCTTTGAGTTATGACACCATAGCACTCTACCCAGGGTAACAGACTCCATATTAAAAAAAAAATCTGGGAAATTTTTATGAAGGAAGCAAACAGAATGAAAAAACATAGTAACTGGGGATGGGGAAGAGGGTCTTTATTTTATTATTTTTTGTTTGTTTGTTTGTTTTTGAGACAGAGCCTCAAGCTGTCGCCCTGGGTAGAGTGCTATGACATCACAGCTCACAGCAACCTCCATCTCCTGGGCTCAAGCAAGGCTCCTGCCTCTGCCTCCCAAGTAGCTGGGACCACAGGCGCCTGCCGCAACGCCTGGCTATTTTTTTGGTTGCAGCCATCATTGTTGTTTGGCGGGCCCGGGCTGGATTCGAACCCGCCACGTTAGGTGTATGTGGCTGGCGCCTTAGCCACTTGAGCCACAGGTGCTGAGCCAGGGTCTCTATTTTAGATAGCACAGTCCAGGGAAGCCTCTACAAGAAAGAGCACATCACCCAAAGAGCAAGGAGAAGGGCAGTCCAGGGAGAGGGGATAGCAAGTGCAAAGGCACCGTGGCAGGCACATGTTTAGTGCGGAAGAAAGGAGGCCATGGGTTTGGAGAGAAGTAAATGACAAGGAGCAGTTTTCCAGGTCAGGGGAGGTAAAGAATTATCTTCAAGGAAAGGAGATGCCCTTAAAGACTTTAAGAAACAGGATTTAATTTGTATCTTAAACAGAGCCCTCAGGCCTGCCCCACTGTTGTGTGAAAAATGACTTGTAAGGGGAAGAAGCAGAGAGAGAAGGAGAGCTGTAAGGAGACGACGCTTATTCAATTCGGAAATCTAATTGGTATCTCATATTTAATGTATCTAAATCAAAACATCTGGATTATAATCCCCCCAAACCCCCAAACAACTGAAGCCTATTTCTCCTCAATCTTCCTCAACTCTGCCCCACCATTCACCGAGATGTTCAAGGCAAAGACCTAAATTAGGGGGTATCCTTGCCTTTTTGTCTCTGCTTCCCACCTCTGGTTATCCCCACAGCTCCTATTCAGGTCCAGGTGGTCAACTTCCCGGGGTGTTGTATACCAGCCCCCTCACACCTCTCGCTCCTCTCCTCTGCCCCCTATAGTCCATTCTCCATGAAGGAACCATGGGGTGCTGCTTAAGAACACAGATCTGTCATTCTCTGATTAAAATTCATCCCTCAAGGACTCCCGAAGTCAGGTCCAGAAAGAACAGAAGGGAAACGGAGAGGGGGAAAGAAGACCGAAGGGGACTAAGCCTGGTTCGTAGCACCGCCCCCGGATCAGGCTTGCGCCCTTCCGGGCTTTGGAACTTTTCCAAAGCTAGGGGAAGCTTCTCCAGTAGTACCTTCCGGCGTCGTTTGCCCTGTTTCCCGTGGTGCACTGCGACACCTTTTTCTCTTCCGGTCGTAGGCGCTAAGGCAGTCGCGGGTCGCGGTGAGTGTTGGCTGTGTGGTATCCGATGCCATCCACGACTCATGGGTGGCGGCGGGGCGCCGGCTGCAAGGAGGACAAGGAGACCGGCTGTGTGAATGTGGGGAGCAGACGCTGGGGGTTCGAGCGCTGCTCCTAGGTCCCCAAGGGGCAGATGGATGGCGGGGGAAGAAGGACTTTACGGGGGAGAGCAGCCTTACCCGGGTGGGGATTTGGTTCGGGGCATCTTTACCTGGGTTTTGGAGGCAGGGACCGGGGTTGGGTTGAGTCGAGGCTTGTGGAGGCCGCAGGTTCAAACGTCTGTTTCTAGCCTCATTGTAACTTCTAAAGTCTCGTTCCTCCAGGTCAGGGCAGTAAAGATGACCCAACCCTGATCTACACTCTTGTTCTCCAGGTGCAGACATGGCCAAGTCCAAGAACCACACCACACACAACCAGTGTAAGTTTTTCTTGCCCCAGCCTGCTTTTCAGACCCTACCAAGTATTGGTTTAGTGATACTGGGGCAGAGTGAGGGGGCCTCATACCCACTGTGGGCCTGGGGCTGTTTTTGTTTTCAGCTGGTGATAATCTTTTGGGGTTATAGGTTTAGCAGCCAGAGAGCTGCTTGACATACTCACAATGCTTTGCGTTCAGTGATAAGTTTTTGAAATTAATAATGCCTGTTCTAGGAAGTGTTGATTCTATTGAGCTTGCAGTTGTGAGGTTGGGTGGTTTTACTAGAGAAAGTGTTTTTGTTTGTCTAATTTTCTTTTTTTCTCCACAGCCAGAAAGTGGCACAGAAATGGCATCAAGAAACCCCGATCGCAAAGATATGAATCTCTTAAGGGGGTGAGTGTACATTGAATCACACATAAATATCTCTTAGCTTCTGGTGCACAATCACAAGCTGTCATGTAGCTCTTTCACAGCTCCATTCTCTGCCTGTGCAGAGCTTGTCCCTTTAGTCTGATCAACCAAAGCCTACATTTCCTTTCTCTACCCTGCCAGACCCATAATAAAGGTTTCCTTGGCCTTCCCTGGCCTGGAGTGTAACCCTTTGGTCAGAGTGTGACCTACCTCTTTGGTGTTTTGTTTGGCTGTCTCCCATACTCAACCACAGCCTTTAAGGTAAGGAGTGACATTGTGTGTACTAGGTATCTTGTGGCCTTCCTATTCCACATTCAGTAGCCGTACAGTCATGATCTCACCTAGTGCTGGGCTTGGGGTCAGCTTCTCTTTCTGTGTCAGGGAGTTTCAATTAGCTGATAAGGCTATAGGGTCTACGAGAGAACTAAGCCTGTTCTCAAGTCTTGTTCCTCTTCTGTACCCTTGCCATCTGATCTGTGAAGTGAATCAAAATCTCTGAGCCTCAGTTTCCCCACTTCTGTCTCTTAATTCTGCCTCATCTGTGACTCTGTTTGGCCAGGCTTGGTGTTTAATTGACACCTTTCTCTAAAGGGGGAGGAAATAGGATAATCCTGAGGGGAATTCAGGGGGGGGAAAAAAAACCCTGAAATTGCTTCTATAGAAGTCAAGCCATGCAACTGTGGCAGAGAGGGCAGTGGCCTTTCTTTTTCTCTGCACTCGGATTTGACTGTTGATTATGGGCATGTAGCCTTGAAAGTGTGATCTGCACGGCATTAGCCACGTGGAATATTAGCTCTCTGGGGCCTTGTTTCTTAGGGTTGGTTATTTCCATATTTAAGGTGTCTTGATGTTGTCTTTAGAGTAATGTGCACCCCTATGGAGAGAGGCATCAGAGAGTGGGGGACCTTATGTGCTCCTGCCTATACCTTCCCTGCTTTCCAGGTAGATCCCAAGTTCCTGAGGAACATGCGCTTTGCCAAGAAGCACAACAAGAAGGGCCTGAAGAAGATGCAGGCCAACAATGCCAAGGCTGTGAGTGCACGTGCTGAAGCTATCAAGGCCCTTGTAAAGCCCAAGGAGGTTAAGACCAAGATTCCAAAAGGTGCCAGCCGTAAACTCAGTCGCCTTGCCTACATTGCCCACCCCAAGCTTGGGAAGCGTGCTCGTGCACGCATTGCCAAGGGTCTCAGGCTCTGCCGGCCAAAGGCCAAGGCCAAGGCCAAGGCTAAGGCCAAGGATCAAACGAAGGCCCAATCTGCTGCTTCATCTGCAGCTCCAGCTTCAGTTCCAGCTCAGGCTCCCAAAGGTGCCCAGGCCCCCACAAAGGCTTCAGAGTAGAGGCATCTGTCTGCCACGAGGACAAAAGGACTGGTGTGACCTCTAGGCTGCTGTCTGTATGGGGCTGGGGTCCTCCTGTGCTATTTGTACAAATAAACCTGAGGCAGGATTTGTTAGACTGTGTCTATAATATTGGGGCTGGTATTGGGATCTATAAAGTTGCTACCTCTATTGCTGTGGGAGCAACAGTACCCTTGTGTGGATGTGGGAGGTGTGGTTGAGAGTCAGGAAATGGGGCCTTGGGGGTGCAAGAGGGGAATCTAGTAAATGAGAAATCATTGGAGACTTTAGGGAACCTGGGACATATAACAATGGTGAGCTGCTGAGGAAAGAGAAAAATCCTAAATATGTTTGTTAGGTCTTAAAGCATACCCTGAGGAAAGGGGATGGGGCACTGCTTAACAATTCTGCACGATTGTCTCCCAGACTTGGGCCATTTCTGGTGCTCATGGCCAGCATCTACTATTCTAGGTTGTGTTAAGTTTCCCAAGTGCTAGGGAGCCAGGAAAGTAGGGCAGTGTTGGTACTTCCTGACTTCTTTGATTGGGCTGACTGCTCTGGGTCAGTCTAGGAACTTTTAGAGCAGCCAGTAGAACAAGTAGCTTAATGCCTGGCATTTGTGGAAGCTTCCTTTAGAATGCACCAGGTGGAGCACTTTCTGGTTATACATAATCCTAAAAATCAGCCTAGGTCCAATCTTGGGCGTTTTGAAAACTCAGAAAGGGGTATTAGACTTAGTGCCCAAAGCACAGTGGTTGGTGCTACCTAAGGGCCTAGCAAGGTTGAGATTGAAGCCCAACTCCTGGACCCCCATACACTAGTCCTTGGTCAGGGTGCTGGAGACTGTAAGGTAAACTGACCTGGTATACTGGTGTACCCTGCCTTAGTGACCCCTGCCTCCAACACTAGAGCCTATGGGTTTTGACAAATGCTAGCAGTCATGGCTTGGAAGTTGTCCCTCTGCCTGCCCACATCTGGTAGGGGCCCAGCTGGACCCATTCTGGTCTTGTCTTCAGATCCCAAATGTATCCTCAGAAAGACAGGAGTGGTTTTGAAGTCCATGTCTTGATATCTCCATTCAATGGGAATGGAATACCTGACTTCACAGGTCAGATGTTATGTGGCCAACAAAAACAGGAGCTGTGGTCCCTTATTTTTGGGCACAGACATGGTTGGGTGCTACTGGGTAGGTAGGTATGGTATGTTTAGGGTTAAGGAGCTGTATGGAATGGTTTGGGGAAGACCCCAGAACCAGGCTGTTCGCTCATCTGTGAAATGGGAATGGTAACGGCGTGTCTCCAGAGAAATGAGAATTCTTGCTCCAAGAGTGTCCTTGCCATTAGAGACAGACCCTGCCCCGACACAGACTTTATTATTGGGCAGAAGGAAGACAAGGTCTTTGGTTCTAGTTGAGATGGAAGCTCCAGGGGCAGAGGTTGGGAATCCCCAGGTTCAGTTGTCACTGGGCAGGGTGGGTACACTGGCTAGGGCAGGCAGCAGGTGTGCATATATGTCTATTCCACGAAGGAACACAGCCTCATGCAGCCGCTCATCATGGTCATGCAACAGCACAGGTGTATGGTTCATGGGTGAGAAGCCCAGAGCTGGGACTCCCATCTGTGGGGGCAAGGAGAACCATTAGGGAAAAGCCAGCATTCAGACCCTGTCCACTGCCCATGCACTGCCATGCAAGTGGCTCACTGCGCGGAGATAGCGGCTGTCCGTGGTAGCAGGGAAGATCTCTGCTTCCAGAGTGAGGTTCCTGCAAGGGGAAGAGCCTGATGAATTGTGAGGAAGGTAGAGGGGAGCATAAGGGAAGAACTAAAGGGGAAAGGAAGGTGGAAAAGAGGTAGGGAAGGAGAGAGAGGAAGGAGAGGGGGCAGTAGCAAGGAGAGGAGAAGGGAGCTGGCCATATGCTCACATGTCCTTGAAGACCTGGCTAAAAGCTGCCCACCAGGGATCTGAGTCATCAGTAGGTGTCACTCGGGGCTTCGTCCACTTCTGTGGGAGAGTGGGGAGAAAGATGGCATGATCAAGACAGGGGCCTGGGCATCTTGCCCTGTTTCCCATAGGATTGGTTGTGCCTGGCACAGACTATCTCTCCACCCCTAGCCAGACATCAAGTGGCTAGTCTAGCCACAGGCCCTTTTACAGGCCCTCAGACACCCTAGGTCTGGGGTTTTCCCATGCTCTCCATCTACTTAACTGCTCATCCTTCAGGTTTAAGCCCAGATGCTCTCCCAGACCTCTCAGACTAGTTTTTTGTTTGCTTTTGTTTTTGTTTGGAGACAGGCTCTCAGTTTGTGTGCCTAAGCCTGGGGGGAGTGGCATGATCATAGCTCATAGCAACCTCAAACTCCTGGGCTCAAGCAATTCTGTTTCAGCCTCTTGAGTTGCTGGGACTACAGACATCCACCATGCCTGGCTAATTTTTGTATTCTTAGTAGAGATGGGGGTAGGGTGGGGTGGGGTATCTCCCTTGTTCCTTAGGTTGGTTTGGAACTCCTGACCTCAAGTGATCATCCTGGCTTGGAACTCCCAAAGTGCTAAGATTACAGGCATAAGCCACTGTACTGGGCCTTCTCAGACTAATTGAATACCTCAATTATAGGCTTTTTTTTTTCTTCCTTGAGACAGAGCCTCAAGCTGTCCCCCTGGGTAGAGTGCCGTGGCATCACAGCTCAAGCGAGTCTCCTGCCTCAGCTTCCCAAGTAGCTGGGACCACAGGTGCCCACCATAACACCCAGCTATTTTTTGGTTGCAGCCATCATTGTTTTGGTGGGCCTGGGCTGGAGTCAAACCTTAGGTGTATGTGGCTGGCGCCTTAGCCACTTGAGTCACAGGCACAGAGTCCAATTATAGGCTCTTAGGGTGTGAGGTCCCACCTTTCCTGGACCACATGGGTTCATATTTACTTAAAAGTAATACTATATAAATATTTGATTTATGTCTATCTCCTCTTATCACATATTGAGGGTAAGAATTGTGTCTAATTTTACTCCCACAGTATTCCCTAGCACTCATAGTGGCCTTCACAACTAATGCTTATCGGGTGAATAAGATGTATTTCTCACACATCTTAAAAAAAAAAAGAAAGTTGGCTCAGTGCCTGTAGCTCAGCAGTTACGGCACCAGCTATATACACTGGAGCTGGAGGGTTCGAACCCAGCCTGGGCCTGCTAAACAACAATGACAATTACAACAAAAATAGCTGGGCGTTGTGGCAGGTGCCTGTAGTCCCAGCCACTTATGAGGCTGAGGCAAGAGAGTTGCTTAAGCCCAAGAGTTTGAGGTTGCTGTGAGCTGTGACCACAGCATTTTATTGAGGGCGACATAGTGAGACCCTGTGTTAAAAAAAAGAAAGAAAAAGCCCAGATATACACTCCTCCACTGTTGCACACTTGGCAAGCCCAGTTTCTCCCATTACAAGTCCCAACTCAATACCTGAACAAACTCGAAGGTGACTCCCTCACCAGCTGCCTGGCACCAGGCATGCAGCTGCTCCTCAAAAGCCTAAAAGAAAGGAGATGAGCTGACTCTTCAGGCTTTCCTGGAGCTTTTATGACAGGACTGAGGACTCCTCCAAACCCATGTGTAGGTGGCACCTTCAGGTCCACGTCTGGTGCCACACGGAAGTCAAAGCCAGCGCTCATAGTGGCAGGTACCACGTTATAGGCCACACCACCCTCTAGCTTAGTCAGGTTCACAGAAGTCACTGCCCCTTCCTTCAGGTGGGGGTTTGACTGTAGCCTGCAGTAAATGGACAGGGTAGGAGCAGCAACAGATACAAGAAGGTGGCTCAGCCTCCTTTCTCTCTTGTGCAGCCTCCCAGAGACACCCCCATCCCCTTCCCAGGCTGCCTCACCTCTGCCTTTCCTTCTCCCGGAATGCCAGGATGGTGCTCACAACCTTGTGCTAGTAGAGTATGAGATTAGATGTGACAGCAGCCTCATGATAGAGCCTCCCAAACTCCCAGACTCCCTGTATGCCACACACCAACTTTTCTGCTGCTGTGTCCTCAATGAAGCGTGAGCCATGGCCTGGCTTCCCAGTGCTGGTGACTCGTACCCCTGGGGAGATGTGGGGGAAGGGAGTGTCTTCAGCATGAAAGGGGCTAGAGATACAGTCAACCCTGGGGCAGGCCAGGGTCTTCTCTTATGTTGAGCTCATCTGGCAGGGTCTTGTCCCCCTCAGAGCCTGCAGCATAAAGCTGGTTTAAGCCCACAGTCAGGCAGGCCCTCAGAGAAGCCCAGGACAGAGATACCCAGGTAGGAAGGGGATGGGAGACAGAAGCCCTGGGTTCAAGGACTACTCAGACCCCAGCTTGCTGTGTGACCCTTCACAAGACCCTGCCCTTTCTAGCCTAGTCTCCCATCTATTGATCCCTCCCTCCAAGCTCATACTCACACCACACACTCCGCTCGCTATAAAACACACTGAAGGCATCAGTGGGGTTGGCCAGTCCTGAGGAGGGAAAGGGAGTTCAAAGGGTAGAGTGGCCCAACCCCACTAGCAGCCTCCCTACTCTCCACCTGTCTGCCCAGTGACTGGCCAGCCTTCTTACCCTCATCCAGGGCAAAGCCAGCCCTCAGGGCCTGGAACTCAGGCCGCTGCACAAACAGCTCCATGCCACGGTGACCCCCAACCTCCTCATCTGTAAAAGCGGCAGTGACAGGAGATGAAGGGGCCATCTCCCTTCAACACACCCTTCCCTTTCCCAAACATGTACCTCCCTGAGCCATTCCTACCAGGCACAAAGGTCATGTGGATGGTTCTAGGGAAACTGCGGCCCTCAACCTTCAGCCTCCTCACTGCCTCCAGGTACCTGAGAGGGCATAAGCCAGGCGTTAGGGGAGCCACCAGAGGTTCAAGCCAGCACACCAGGCAGGCACAGGCAGTCCTGGAAGGCTGAAGACCTGTGTCCTGGACCCTTCCATAGTCTGGCTCCAGAAAGTCCCTGGCCCTCTCTGGGCCTCAATTTCCTCATCCATGCAATAGTCATGACAGTAAGGTATGCCCTAAGTAAGAAGTCAAGATATTCATTGGTCTTGAGGTTCTCCAATCACACTGGTACTGGGTTAATCCACTGGGTTGGTGGGAACATTGTGGGGAACTTGCAATGGAAGACACTCACTGGATGCTGACACACTTCATGTCCTGGGTGCCCCTGCCATAGATGTAGCCATCAGAATCCTTGAAGGCCTCAAAGGGGTCATGACTCCAATGTTCCTGGAGGAAGGGATAGGAAGGGGGATCCAAGCTCCAGATTTAGTCATTAATCCACTCTGGCTAATGATGGCCCTGCCCTAGAAGCCCACCAAAGGGCTGGGGTGATAGGTAGAGTGGTGAGGGGGTATCAGAAGAGGACTGAAGAAGGCAGCTGATTGCCATCCTCACTGGACCCCCACATGCAGTCATTGCTGGACAAAGGCTGCTTATCCCATGGATGTTGACATTAATGCCAGGACCAGCACCATGGGTTCCTGAAATTGGATTCTAGGGTCTACATTATGGTCCCAGAACCTTCACTACCCCTGCTACACACCTTGAAGACAGGCACCACATCCGTGTGAGAGTTGAGCAAGATAGAGGAGAGTGCAGGATTGGTGCCTGGCCAGGTCAGCACGGTCACCACAAAGCCAGGTGCTACCTGGAGAGGGTCAGGAGGGGAAGTGGTCAACATAGGGTGAGGAGTTGCCCCGGACTTACCTCCTTTCCCTACTTAAGGCCCCACGCTCACCTCCACTTTCTGACAGCTCAGGCTCAGCTGGTGGGCTCTTTCCTCTAGGAAAGCCACGGCAGCCCCTGGGGACAGAGAGTCTTGGGCTGCTTCTGCCCACCCATGGCTCCCACTAGTCTAGGCAGCCCAGAAATGGGAGCGGACTCAGGATGGGCTGCTACCTTCCCAACAAAATTCCATATCCCTCAGAGACATCTGTATTTCTGTCCCCAAGTTAGAAGATATATTTGGCTAGTCAGTGTGACCCTTTGTGAATGCCCAGGGTTAGAAGTGAGATTATCTTCCTTAAATATGGGGAAACTATGGCACAAGGAGATGCAGAGATTGACCCAGCATCTCTCAGCTGGCAAATCAGAGCAGAGATTTAGACCCAGGTACACAATTCTCAGCCACCAAGCCTGAGTTCTTAAGGGTTGTAGTCTTTGGTCTAGCCCCAGAAGGCTCTGGAGGGCCCTTGTGGAGGCCCCAGTCTCCACCAAACACTCCCACTCTACAGGGTGAAGTAATTTTTTTTTTGAGACTTTCTTTGTTGCCCTTAGTGCCATGGCATCATACCTCACAGCAACCTCATCCTCTTGCCTCAGCCTCCCAAGTAGTGGGACTACAGGCACTTGCCACAACTCCCAGCTGTTTTTTTAGAGATGGGGTCTTGCTATTGCTCAGGCTGGTCTTGAATTTGTGAGCTCAGGCAATCCACCTGCCTTGGCCTCCAGGAGTGCTGGGATTACAAGCGTGAGCCACTGCGTCCAGCCTGAAGTGATTCTTTAACTGGCTGCCATAACATCTGGAGCAGCACAGCCCTTGGGTAAAGGGTTCCTCCACCACTTGCAGGGGCTGCCTCAGTCGCTGACCTGGGGAATGGCTAGAGGGGCTGAGGAGCCATTTGGGGCAGCACAGTGAGGCTGGGTGACAGGGGTTGGAGCTAGTTTAGAGCACCGTCCTGGCACCTTAAGCCCCATCACAGGCTCTGGAGGCCTAGTTTTCTCACCATAGTCAGGCTTGGGCTGGACGGTACGGATGCGCAGGTACTGGCGAAAGAGCGTCACAGATGGGTGCTCGTCCTCTGGACCTTTGCTGGCCATGGCACTGTGAGTGGTGAGCTGGGGGCAAAGTGAATGGCTAACTACCCCTCTGCACACAGTCCCTCCCCCACGGCAGTTTCCAGAGGACCCCCCACTGGAACCCCACAAACGAAGCCCCCTGTCTGTTTCAGGCGCTACGCTGGCCGCTTTTAGCACATTTCCTTATTTAATCCCCAAGCAGCCCCATGAAGTCTGTGCCTCTGCCAGAGAGCAGCAGAGCCAGGTTTGAATCCTGGCATTAATTCCCCTCATCCTCCTTCAAAAATATCTCCCAATTGCTTGGGAGCCGCAGATCCCTTTACCTCTCTCCAGGGTTCCCCACCTCCCTCTCTCCAGGTCTTGAACCCCGCTCGCCTCCCAGCGTCGGCCTCAGACTGTGGCCCAGACTCAAGAGTCCAATGAGGTCTCAGGCTTAGTACCGCCCGGATCCTCCCCCCACGTGGTCGGAGCCAGATCACCCGGCGGAGACCTAAAACTGAGAGGAAAGCCCGTGCCAATCCCTGCGGCCGCTTCGGCGCAGGCGTCCCAGCCAGCCTATGGTCTAGCCTGGGCTGGGAGGCTCGGATCCGGGATCCCACCCCTGGGCAGCTCCGCCACAGCCAACTCCGCCCAGCGAGCGGTGAGCCGCGGGATGGCTCCGCCCCACCCGGTAGCACAAGCCCCATGCCCTCTCCTACCGCCTGAGCCCGGGCTTGGGGAACTCCACTTGGTTCAGCCTCCGGAGGGAGCTGGAGGAGAGGAGAACCCTGAGTGCAGGGCTGCAAAGTCCCTACCTGGCCCCCCTGCCCCCCTTCCACGAGTTCCTCCTTTGCAGGTTTCAGCCCCTGGGAGATCCTCCCAGACTGCCTCAGCTCCCAGTGTAGTGAGGTTATTGGTTAATGCCTGTTAATGTCAGTCAGCCCCACATCATGGTGACCTCTGCTCTGGCTAGGCATAGAGTGGGTGCTGAGACAAAAAGCCAGAGATGAAAAGTCAATGTAGAAGAAGAGATGGTGTGAATGTGCCGCTGTGTGGGCAAATTTAACACTGTGTATCAGCGTTATGACTTTGTGTGTGCCAATATGAGTGTGAGATGGTGGCTAGGTGTGACAGGACATCATGATGAGAGGATGTAATTATGATGCTGAACGATAGTGTGAGAGGTGGGGAACCATGCCAGACTGGCTCTTCTGCAACCTCCAGGGAGGGAGGCTAGAGGCACAGGTGGCCACTGGTACATGAGGGCTGGTCCTCTGGACCTTTGCTGGCCATGGCACTGCGAGTGGTGAGCTGGGGGCAAAGTGAATAAGCTGGGGGCTTACTGGTGTAGATGCCCACATGTGCACCTGGCTGTCCTTTGCACTCCCAGGCAGTTCTGCCCTCTGCTTGAGGGGCTGAGCCAGCTTGGGGAGGGGCAAGGGGTGAAGACTTCAACCTCTGGGCTAAGGAGGCAGGTTGGAAGGGAAGGGTAAGAGTCCATTCTACCCCTCCTGGGGTTTCAGTCTTGGCTGCTCACCAGCACATAACAAGGGAGTGCACAGGCTTAGTGGTTCACCAGCCTGAGAGGATCCACCATGAAAGGATCTTAGGTGTGTTGTGAAAATTTAAAAATACACATATATAGTTTTTTGAGACAGAGTCTTACATTGTTGCCCTCGGTAGAGTGCCATGGTGTCATAGCTCAGGTCATGTCCTAGCTCACATTGCTATGGTACCTATAATTCTTTCTTTCTTTCTTTTTTTTTTCTTGATACAGAGTCTATGTCGCCCTCAGTAGAGTGCTATAGCATCATAGCTCATAGCAACCTCAAACTCTTAGGCTTAAGTGATTCTCTTGCCTCAGCCTCCCAAGTAGCTGGGACTATAGGTGCCCACCACAACACCTGGCTATTTTACTAATAATTCTTAAACCTCATTCTCCACCTCTACACAGCCATCTCTACACATCCTGCTCCCTTTGACTCCAGGTTCCTGACTCGCCCAACTCAGCTGCCCAGACTCTAGATTTCCCACCAATCCCAGTGATCATGCAGCAGCAGTAATACAACCCTTTCCCAGCCTTGTGCAGCAAGTGCTCCAGTTATCCAAACTCATGCAATCTTTTTTTTTTTCCTTTTTGAGACAGAATCTCATTATGTCACCCTCTGTAGAGTGTGGTGGCATCACAGCTCACAGCAACCTCAAACTCTTGGGCTTAAGTGATTGTCTTCCCTTAGCCTCCCAAGTAGCTGGGACTACAGGCACCTGCCACAACCCCTGGCTATTTTTTTGTTGCAGTTGTCATTGTTGTTTAGTAAGCCCGGGCCAGGCTTGAACCCACCAGCCTTGGTGTATGTGGCTGACACCCTAACCACTGAGCTATGGGGGCCAAGTCAAACTCATGCAATCTTACACCATACCACCCTCCAAGTTAGATGTTGCCATCATGCCAATTTTTTTTTTTTTCTTTGAGACAGAGCCTCAAGCTGTCCCCCTGGGTAGAGTGCCGTGGCATTACAGCTCACAGCAACCTCCAACTCCTGGGCTCAAGCGAGTCTCTTGCCTCCGCCTCCCAAGTAGCTGGGACCACAGGCGCCCGCCACAACGCCCGGCTATTTTTTGGTTGCAGCCATCATTGTTGTTTGGCGGGTCCGGGCTGGGGATTCGAACCCACCACCTTAGGTGTACATGGCTGGCGCCTTAGCCGGTTGAGCTATAGGAGCCGAGCCCCAATTTTTTTTTTTTGAGAGAGAGCCTCAAGCTGTCACCCTGGGTAGAGTGCCGTTGCATCACAGCTCACAGTAACCTCCAACTCCTGGGCTCAAGGGAGTCTCCTGTGTCAGCCTCCCAAGTAGCTAGGACCACAGGCATCTGCCACAATGCCCAGCTATTTTTTGGTTGCAGCTGTCATTGTTTTTTTTAATTTTTTATTTTTTTTGCAGTTTTTGGCCAGGGCTGGGTTTGAAACCACCACCTCCAGCATATAGGGCTGGTGCCCTACTCCTTTGAGCCACAGGCGCCACCCTGCAGCTGTCATTATTGTTTGGCGGGCCCAGGCTGGATTTGAACCTGCCACCTTAGATGTATGTGGCTGGCGCCTTAGCCACTTGAGCCACAGGCGCTGAGCCCATCATGCCAATTTTATAGATGAAGAAACTGAGGCAGAATGGTGAGGGTAGACAGCTAGGAAGTAGTACAGTCTTAGCCCTCCCATACTGCTGGTGCACACGCTTCAGCTCCCAGCCCCAAGATTGTCCCAGATTTGCCTCCCACTCCTGCCTCTCCCCAAGCGCCATAGGAAATGGGATCTGACACACTTGGCAAGACAAATGCCTTTTTTATTGTATTTGTGAGATGAAATGAGAGGTTCTGGCTGGGTCTGAATCTCTGACCTCTGTCCTCTAATTCCAGGAGCTGTCTTCCTGGTGACAGGTAGTCCAAACCCTCTAAACTCAGGTCAAACCTGCCTGAGTAGTGGGTTATTTCAAGGCAGATGGTCAAGGAAGGCAAGGAGGATGAGGTGAAAGTCTTGTGGCTTGTGGAGGTAGCAGGCATGGCCTGCGTTTTGCAGCTTTACCACTGAGTGGTTGGGCAGGTGGCGGAGCTGTTGCAGAGATTCTTGAGCTAGGATGCGGTCCAGTTCTCCATACAGGATGAGGGTTGGGGTCTGTAGGGCAAGGCAAGGGGCTGTGACCCTGGGGCCTGATGAGGATCTGACCACCCCAAACCACCTCCTTAGGAAGCCTTTCTTTCCCAACACCCCACCTCTTCCATCTAAGATCAGGAGTAAGGCCATGTCTCTCCAAGCAAGGCTTGAGTCCTGAACTCCCATGACTCAAGTCAGGGACAGGGCACCAGGACCTTTGAAGAGCCTTCTCTCAGTACCTTCACAGCCCAGAATTGCTGCTGAGTGTAGTTCTGGGTAGAGGTGGGTGCGATGGGCACAAATCCATGTAGCTGGTGGTGGCCTCTCATCAGGAAGGGTAGGGCATAGCGGCCACTCAGTGAGGGGCTCACCAACACAGCATTCTGCACCTCCAGATCCCGCAGCACCCGCTCCAGCAGCTCCACCCGCCCTGCCTCTGTGCGTGCCTCCTTTGAAGGTGCCGAGTTCCCAAAACCTAAGAACAGCATCGAGCTCCAGCTGAGGGGGGCTAGGAAGAGGCCCAGGACTACCTGGCACATGCTACTCCAAACTTCCTAGAAGATATTTTTTGTAATGTAATAGGCCTGCTGGAAAAACATTTATTCATCGTATTAGCAAAACCAAAAAGACTGTCACTGTTGGTAAAAGATATGGGAAATGGAAACTCTCATACTTGACTAATCAGAAAATAAAACCGGAGATAGCCTTTTGGGAGAGTGAGGTAGTATTTGTCAAAATTTAAAATATATATCCTTTCACTCATCAATTGTGCTCCATAGCTAACCTAGAGAAATTAGTGACCACATGTTCAAAGAAACATGTCCAAAGACGTTTCTGCTATGTTGTGTGAGCATTTCAACTGACACTGAAAATCCTAAAACCATCTGTAATACAATGCTTTTCAACCAGTGTGCTGTAGCACACTGGTGTGCCATGAGAGGATCTTAGGTGTGTTGTGAAAATTTAAAAATATATACATATAGTTTTTTGTTTTTTTTTGTAGAGACAGAGTCTCACTTTATCACTCTCTGGTAGAATGTCATGACGTCACACAGCTCACAGCAACCTCCAACTCCTAGGCTTAGGTGATTCCTTTGACTCAGCCTCCTGAATAGCTGGGACTACAGGTGCCTGCCACAATGCCTGGCTATTTTTTGTTGTTGTTGCAGATTGGCCAGGGCCAAGTTAGAACCCGTCACCCTCAGTATATGGGGCCCGGTGCCCTGCCTACTGAGCCACAGGCGTCGCCCTATATGTAGTTTTTTTGAGACAAGAGTCTCACTTTGTTGCCCTCGGTAGAATGCGGTAATGTCATAGCTCACAGCAACCTCAGACTCTTGGGCTCAAGCGATTCTCTTGCCTCAGTCTCCCAAGTAGTGGGACTAGTGGCACTGCCACAATGCCTGGCTATTTTTAGAGACAGGGTCTTGCTTTTGCTCAGGCTGTTCTCAAACTCAAGAGCTCAAGCAATCCACCCACCTTGGCCTCCCAGAGTGCTAGGATTGCAGGCGTGAGCCACTGTGCCTGACCCAAAATTTTTAAAAATATTAAGTTATTTTCGAAAGAAGTTCAAAGCACAGGGCGGCACCCCTAGCTCAGTGGGTAGGGCACCAGCCACATACACTGAGGCTGGTAGGTTTGAACCCGCCCCGGGCCTGCTAAACAACAATGACAACTACAACAAAAAAACAGCCAGTCTTTGTGGTGGGCGCCTGTAGTCCCAGCTACTCAGGAGGCTGAGGCAAGAGAATCGCTTGAGCCCAAGAGTTGGAGGCTGCTGTGAGTGCTGTGAGCATTCTACCGAGGGTGATAAAATGAGACTCTGTCTCTTAAAAAAAAAGAATAGCAAAAAGAATATACTTGCTTTGAACTTTTTTTTTTTTTTTTGCAGTTTTTGTCCGGGGCTAGGTTTGAACTCACCACCTTTGGCATATAGGGCTGGCGCCGTACTCCTTTGAGCCACAGGTGCCACCCTGAACTTCTTTTTTTTTTTTGAGACAGTCTCAAGCTGTCGCCCTGGATAGAGTACCATTGCTTCGTAGCTCACAGCAACCTCCAACTTGGGCTTAAGCTATCCTCTTGCCTCAGTTTTTCTAATTTTAGTAAACACAGGGTCTTGCTTTTGCTCAGGCTAGTCTCAGAACTGGTGAGCTCAAGCAGTACACCTGCCTTGGCCTCCCAGAGTGCTATGATTATAGGCATGAGCCGCTGCACCCAGTCTTTGTTACTCTTTTTGTTTTTTTTAAAGAATATTTATTTATTTATTTATTTATTTATTTTGAGACAGAGCCTTAAGCTGTTGCCCTGGGTAGAGTGCCATGGCATCACAGCTCACAGCAACCTGCAACTCCTGGGCTTAAGTGATTCTCTTGCCTCAGCCTCCCAAGTAGCTGGGACTACAGGCACCTGCCATAGTGCCCGGCTATTTTTTGGTTGTAGTTGTCATTGTTTACCAGGCCCGGGCTGGATTCGAAGCCACTAGCTCTGGTATATGTGGCTGGCACCTTAGCTTCTTGAGCTAAGCCAAGCCTATTACTCTCTTTTCAATCAATATAATTTAAGTATGCCATAGAAGTTTAACTATAGTTCAAGTGTGCTGTGAGATAAAAATGGTAGAAAAACACTGTTAAGGCTCAGCGCCTATAGCTCAACCGGCTAAGGCGCCAGCCACATACACCTAAGGTGGCGGGTTCGAATCCCCAGCCTGGACCCACCAAACAACAATGACGGCTGCAACCAAAAAATAGCCGGGCGTTGTGGCGGGCGCCTGTGGTCCCAGCTACTTGGGAGGTGGAGGCAGGAG